TTTATCTAATTTTTATTTTGTTTTAAATAAAAATATGAGGGACACGTAGTATAAGGATAAGTGAAAAAAAAAAAGTTGAACACTAAGTCCAATTTTCACTGTATTTAAAAAAATTTGACACTTGTCATAACAAAATTCTTCCTTTAGAATTTTTTTAACTCCACCACTAAAGTTGAAATTTCAAATTCAACTGATTCACATTCTTTCATACTACATAGATTATTTTTTTTTTAATATATATTTATATATATATATATATATATGAGTTGAATACTACATAGATTAAGGTTTGTTTTGGAAAGTTAGCTTTTAGTCACTTTTTTTGGTTTGTAGCAAAAGCTAAAAATTGGCTTTTTAAAAAAAAAAAATCATTTGGAAAGTTGGTTTTTAGCTAATGGTGAAATTATAATTCTACCCCTTATGGGTCAAAATGTGTTATATGGATGAAGTTGTAAATATTTTAAATTAAATGAGAATAATTTAGTCATTTTATTATGATTTGACATTATAAACAAATATTAATTAAAAAAGTCAAAAGTCACTTTTTACTAACTTCTCAAATCATTTGTCTAAAAATGTCAAAAACTTAGTTAAAAATCAAAAAATTACTTTTTATCACCTTTCCAAAATAGACTAAAGTGGGGGCAATATTTGAGATGGAGACACAGAAATTTAAGGAAGACTTCAATTCAATCACGTACACGAATCTCGCTCTGTTTCCTCCATGACATGACATAGCCTTTTGTTTTGTGTTTCCTAGAATTCCCATTAATGATAAAATAGTGTTATTGTTTGGATTTCAAGAAAATGATGCCAAACGAATCATATCAAATTTTATGTGTTCCCACTTCAAATAAATTTCTTTCTAGTTTTAGGGGGAAAATGGTCCCAATCCATGATTCTATAAACCAACCAACCAAAATTTTTTATAATTGGGCAGTTTTGTCAATTGAGATTTAAAGAATTTTAGGTAGTGGTGTCATTCAAACAAATTTGATATTTTTTATTTTTTATTTTTTTGTTTGTTTCTGTTTTCTTTATTAGAATAAAAAACAATGAACAGATTGAAAACTCTCATAATTTGTTGGGTAAGAGATGAATTTTAGACTACAATTGATTTACTGATTTTTTTTTTATAAAAAAAAAATTGTCTATAATAATAGAATTAATAATAATAAATAAACAACTTAGATGCATGTACAGTGTCATTTTCTTTCTTTCTATCTTTCCTTTTTTTAAGAAAAGTTATATTAAAATAAAAGTAAGCATTTTTTTTTTATAACTCATGAAATCAGTAATATTCATGTTCAGATAATTTGTGTTTCTAATTTTTTCTTTATTCATTTTTATTTTTATTTTTTGTATTTTTAAAATCAAAATTTTAAAAATATTAATCATTCTCATATCATTTTTATTTTGTGCAAAAACTAATTTTAGTAAAAGCAGTAGAATTGTGACCTCATCTCATACGAGCAGGGTGACCCAACGATTCCCTAAACTCAAAATGAAAGCACATTTAAGGGTATTTTGGGAAGATGTTTAAAAGTTAATTTTTTTGATTTTTTTATGGAAGAAGTGATGTGGCCCAAAATGAATTAAAAATTGACTATTAACTTTTTTATAATGTTCTCAAATGTAGTGATTCTCTCTCTTGATCTTGATAACATAATTCTAAATTTTATGTGCTAAAAAATGCACATTTTTAAGCAGCGGAATCATATTCCTATATGTTAACTACAAATAGACTCTTACGTTGTGTTTGGTTGAGGGATTTAGGGAGAGATTTGGAAAGGAAAAAGGTGTGTGAAACTAGATGAAATATAGACATATTTTATTCATATTTCAGTTACCTTTTTTATTTCTCTTTTCAAATCTCTTCTCAAATCTCTCAACCAAACACAATACCAAAACACCAAAGCTCTGCGGCATTTTAAAAAGTCACAAAAATGTTCATTTGGTTATTCTATTCCCTAAAATCAAGTGACGGGAGAGGGAGCTTTGTGCCATCCCTAACTCATGATTTACAAGGGTAGAAAAAATCATTAAAAAAATCGAGGATCTAACAGGATGTGATGAGCACAAGTAGAATGGGTTGGGGTAAGTAAATCCCGCCCCTACCCCCACTTCTTTAGGGTAGGGCATGTTTGTTGGGGATATAATCACAATCCCACCTCTCCAAGAAACCTAAGCATCAAAGCAAAGCCGCATATGGTGTTTCTAATTCCCCGAAAATGGAGTGACAAAAGTGATAGGGCTCATCTCTTCCTGGACAAGTACGCATCAAGAATCTAGGGCTGAGTAAGAAATTCATAAAATTCTTAATCTAATTCGGTCTAGTTCAATTCAATATGTTTGGATTGGTTTTTTTAATCCGTGTTTCGATTTTGGATTAGAAATTTCAAAATCCATAGGCCACGGATCGGTTCCAAATTGAACCCCACGATTCTAGATTGGAACCGATCCGAACCATCTAGAAATAATCTATATTTATACCATATACAGTGTATGTTTTTTTCTTTGATTCCTGGTATAGTGTTATTCATTGTGTTAAGGAAGTAAGACAAAAGGTAGAAGACTTAGTCAGCATGTCACCAATTAAGGTGCAACCATAAAGATTGAAAGCTGGGCTCATTCCTAAAGTAATTTGAGAAAAATAAATATAATATATTGTAATAAGTTAACCATATAATATGTATATATGTATTTTATATTGACAAAAGCATTCATCACACTAAAACCATCCATTGATGAGCCATCTAAGCTTATTTGATAGCAAACTGATTTATCAACAATATTAGCTAATTTGGTCCATTTGATGGGGCTTAAGACTTGGTTTGGTTTGGTTTATTAGCTAATTTGGTAAAAAACAAATGCATCACTAAAGAATTATGCATGATCTTATCAATTCCTAACATCAGAATGGTGATTCAGTTATTACTTAACTGTAACACACAAATAGACCCACACAAAAGATGTTGTTTGCATTAAATATTCTATATTTTTTTTGTTATTTAATTATGTGAATCCGTAATCCTAAACCGATCCAATCCGTGTTTAAGTATATTGATTCGGATTAGTTCTACGATTTAAACAGATTGAATTAATTCTAATTTTTCAAGAGCCGTAAATAACGAATTGATCCTAATTTTCTCCCAATCCAGATCAATCCGGACCATGCTCATCCCTGCAAGAATCCCCTAACATCTAAGCTAAAGGGCACTTGGTGATTTTTTATCTTACCGAAATAACACAGAAAAATTATGTGCATAAAAGTAGCCCAAACAAAAAAACGAAAAAAAAAAAAAACAGATTTTTTAAGCAATAGAGTTAGGGCCCCATCTCTTTCGGGCAACAAGCACACTCCACATTAGGCTCCGTTTGGCCAGAGTTAAACGGGACTTTTTTGGTTATTTTAGTCACAAAAGACAAAATAAGTTAGTTTAGCCACAAAAAATAAAATATCACATCCAACTCATAATCATTACATTCTTCTCTCACAAAAAAAGTTAAAAAAGTCAAAAAGCCCAAAAGCCCTTCCCAAACCAAACATTTTAGCCCAAGCTAAAATAGCCAAAAAAATCAAAAAGCCAAAAAGCCAACCCACTCCCCAAACGGAAGCTAAGATTTCAAAAAAAATTACAGTTACCGTAACGATTGAAATAGTGTGATTAAAGTTGTACAGAGTAAAGATTGTAACGTAATCATTACGGTAATTGGAATCATAAATTTTTTCATATCCTGCACAATTTGAAGAAAAAAAAACTTACTATTATGTATATTTTTTTTTTCAAAATCACATTTAATGAGATTTAAAATAATTTTTTTTATCAATTTTTGTTAATTTTTAAATATGATTTAATATATTTTATTTTTTCAAATCACTATAAAAAGAGTTTTTTATATTTTATTTCAATAGTTAATAACTCTAAAAATAATTGATTTTAAATGTCTACAAAATTATTTTATTTTTCTAAAAATAAACAAAAATCAATTTATAAAATTTTTGTAAATATAAACTGAAAACGTAAACGTTACCAAACACACCCAGCAATAGAGTTACGGCCCCATCTCTTTCGGGCAACAAGCACACTCCAAATTAAGATTTCAAAAAAAGATTGCAGTTACCGTAACGATTGAAATAGTGTGATTAAAGTTGTACAGTGTAAAGATTGTAACGTAATCATTACAGTAATTAGAATCATAAATTTTTTCATATCCTGCACAATTTGAAGAAAAAAAATTTACCAATATGTATATTTATTTTTTTTAAATCACATTTATTGAGATTTAAAATAATTTTTTTTATCAATTTTTGTTAATTTTTAAATATGATTCAATATATTTTATTTTTTAAAATCACTATAAAAAGAGTTTTTTATATTTTATTTCAATAGTTAATAACTCTAAAAATAATTAATTTTAAATGTCTACAAAATTATTTTCAACTAATAACCTGAATTAATAAATAAAAAATATTTACAATTATTAAACGAATAATTATAAAAATAAAAATTTTGCTATAAACAAAAATTATTTTTGAGCTAATAAATTTTTTTTAAAGACATTTTTATAAACAACACTTTATAGCTAACTACATAAAATTATTTACAACTATTAAATGAAATAATTAAAAATTGTACCATAAACAAAAATTATTTTTAAACTACTAATTTTATTTATTTTTTTAAAGATATTTTTTAGACAACACATTATAATAACAAAATAAAAAATATTTACAAATTAAGTATTTTTGGTTGTTTGGGATGTCCTAAATAAGTGCACTTTTTGACTTATTATGTAACATAACAATGATTGAAACCCCAAATTTGAGAACCTATGACCCTCAAAATAATCCAGACCACTCCCATGAGAGATGAGAAAAATAAATAAATAAATAAATACATGAATGGTCCAGATCATTTTGAGATTATGAAAATTTCCAAGTTTGAGGTCTCAATCATTTTTGTTTAAACAATTCATAGTTTTTTGGAGAATAACTGTTAATTTATCAAACATCTCAAAATCATTCACGATTACACCATGTACGACATAATGTTCTAATAATACTCATCATTACACTGGCATTGCCCACTTTTGACAAACAAAACAATCCACCTCTGTAAATAGCTAGTTTTTCCATCAAAATTGAGCATGGTTCTAACTCTACGGACAGCTTGCAATTAACCATAAAATGTGACACAAAGTCGACAAATATTTAAACTTAAAACACACAAGACAAACCAACAAGAGTTCATCTTTCATATCACCAATTAGTAGATCAACTATACAAGAACAAGAGTGTGTATTCTCAACCAGCAGTAGTACCCTGATCTTTGCATTGATACAGAGGTTCCAAACATTCCTTAGCCTTGTGAACTTTCGATTGTAGGTAAAAGCTTCCATTCTTAGCATTGTTTTCAAATAGATTATCATATTTCTGCACACATTGAAGAAAGCCATTTAGGACCTAGTTATGCAACAAATAAAAATGGAAAATCATATAGGAAAACTCTATCCATATATAAAACTCATACAAAAAGCACCATGAGAATGACATGGCAGTGGCATTTTGTAAATATAAACCATCTTTATGGATGTTTTGTTCTAAAGTGAACAGTTACCATTAAGCAACATCATGTATGAAAATTTTGTATGAATTTTCTATTTGTATATCATCACTCAATCATATCACCAGAATTTTTATACAGAATCAACTTCCAGAATGATATGACAGCGGCATGCTTGTAAATTATGTTGATAATAATGGCCCTTGTGATAATGATGAGATGGGACCACAATTAGCCACATCTTTTTGTATAATATTTCTGTATGTTTAGCACTACTCAATAAAAATGCACACATGAAACACAAAAGTAAGAAACACTGGCCTTTGCAATCTCTTCCCATGTGGACTGCTCAGAGACGCCAAGAATTTGCCTTGCCTCTTGCTCCGTCATGATTTTGCTTGCTCTACGGACTGTATTCTGTATTGTCTCTTGAGCAACACCAGATTTTGAGGCATCTAAAATTAACCAGACGAAAATCTATTTAGTCAAAGCATTGATAGATAACAGTAATCATTATTTATGCTGCCAAATAAATAAAACTCTGTTGTTTGCAATATTTATTCAACACATGCATATTGTAACCAACTCCGTCGGGGTTACTTAACAACTCTGCCGGTCCCAAGTTGTGTGTTAGGTAGCCAACGGTTAACACGTAAAAAAACCGCTCAGATCCTTTATGACATAAAGCCTAATACTCTAAATCGATTAAATGCTAGGACGTTCCCCTCAAGTGACGCGATGCATCTGCCTCCGAGTGTTTTAAAAAGTGAGCAAAGGGCGCCGCATCAACCCCTGGGTGCAGTGAAAAATGGACAAAGATTTCTGCATTTTTTTGGATGAACGCAGATAAAAAAGCTAGTTCAAAATTATAGGTTTAGGATAGCCACATGAAATATAAAAACTTTAAATGGTATGACTATGGAATTAGGAGATGTCATGATTAAGAGGAGAGTTAGTATAACTTGCGTACAAGAAACTAAGTAGACGGGTGACAAAGCTCGGGAAATAGAGGATACCGATTTTAAGCTATATTATAGTGATAAGAATAGACACAGGAATGGGGTAGGAATAATAGTTGCCAAGGGTCTTATAGAAAATATAGTTGCGGTCATAGAAAGATAATAGGATTATGTTAGTTAAACTAATTATTGGAGATAATATAGTGAATGTTATTAGTACATATGCCCCCTAAGTAAGATTATATGATTAGACTAAGAGAGTTTTTTGGAACCAAATGTATAAGGTATTACAGGAAATACCCGTATGAGAGAACCAAGTCATAGATGATGATTTCAATGGCCATGTAGGAGTACATAAACTAGGTTATAAGAGGGTGCATGGTGGGTATGGTTTTGTGTTAGAAATGAGGCTAGAGAGAATATTTTAGATTTTGCATTGGCTTCTGACCTAGTGGTGGCCAATACTATGTATAAGAAAAGAGAATAGCATTTGATAACTTTCAAGAGTGAGTCAATTAGGAGCCAAATAGATTACTTTCTACTAAGAAAAAGGGACCGTCTAAAATGTAATGATTATAAGGTGATTCCTGAAGAGAACTTGACATCTCAACATAGGATTTTGGTACTCGATTTATGCTTTAAAGGACAATATGAAGCTCGAAAAGATAGTGGGCGTTGTAGGACTAGATGGTGGGACCTAAAAGGGGGATAAACTAAAATAGATAAAGAAGGCACTTGAGACTTGAAAGATGATGCTAACACTATGTGGAACTCGATGGACACTTGTATGAGGAGAATCTCAAAAGAAGTTCTTGGAGAGTCGAAAGGAAAAGGACCCAACTTTATGAAAACCTTGTGGTGGAGGGAGGAGGTCCAAACGGTAATAAAAACGAAAAAAGAGAGCTTTAAAAAATAGTAGAATGATAGAACTAAAGAAAACCTTAAGCACTACAGATCGGCCAATAAGGAGGTCAAAAAAGTAGGGAGGGCGCCTAAGTTGAGATCCTATGATGACCTACACATTAGACTAGATAGTAAGGAGGAGAGAAAAGGATATACAAACTTGTTAAGATAAGAGAGGAAAACAAGAGATTTTAATCAGGTTAAGTGCATCAAGGGTGAGGACTCTAAGGTATTGGTGAAGGATGAAGAGATTAAGGAGAGGAGAAAGAACTATTTTGAGAAGTTGTTAAATGACGAATATAGAGGTAGGTCAAAAGGGGAGGAAGTAGGCAGTAATAAGGAAAATCAAAACTATAGATTATAGCATAGGATTAGAGACTTTGAAGTGGAGTTTGCATTTGAGAAGATGAAATTGAATAAAGCTTTAGGACCCGATGATATATCTATTAAAGCGTGAAAATGTTTGGATAAGAAGGGAGTACTGTGCGATAAACGAGTACCCATTAGACTAAAAAGGAAGTTCTATAAAACGACTATTAGACTAGCAATATTGTATGAGACGGAATGTAGGGCAACTAAGAAACAACATGTAGATAAAATGAGTGTTGTTGAGATGAGGATGCTAAGGTGGATGTGTGGCAAGACTAAAAAAGACAGAGTTAGAAATGAATATATTCGAGAATGAGTAGGAGTAATGCCGATAGAAGATAAATTGAGAGAGAATAGATTCAGATGGTTTGGTCATATACAACGGAGACCAATAGAAGCAGTAATGAAAAGATGCGATACAGTAACGGTAGATGGTAGTGTTAGGGGAAATGGTAGACTTAGATTGACGTAAACTAGTGTAGTAAATAAAGATATAAATCTCCTTAATTTGACTAATGAAATGGCCTTGGCTAGAGTCGAGTGGAGAAGAAGGATTCATGCAACCAACCACATTTGATGAGACTTAAGGCTTAATTTGATTTGGTTTGGTTTGGTTTACATGCATATTTTAACCAATGAGGCAACATACACAGGTCAACCTTAGGCGGAAATATTCGGTTATACCCTGACAACTCAGATCGATATAGAGTCCTGTGCTTGAATATTGTTTTCCCAAAATAATGCTACACATTTGTCAAGTGGATAAGTGATCCATGAAAGCCCACACCACAGTTTGAGTCCGAATATTGCACATTTGTAATCAACCCTCCAAGCTAGCTGCTTAAGGTTAAGATTGCCACCTAAAATGGTGGGGAACAGAGGTGGTGGTAGAAGAAGGGAGGAAAAAAAGAAAAGAAAAGAAAAGAGGTGGATTAGGGTGGAAAGGGTGGTGGTAGAGTAAGAAGAAGAAATGGGTTCAGTTGAGGTAAGAGGGGTTGGTGGGGTGCAAAGGAAGGAGCGAAGGGGTGTCTTGGGTGTCGAGGGAGGTAGTACGGCAAGTTTCTGGGGTGGTGGGAGGGGGTGGGGAAGGTGATTGGAGTGGGTGGGTTAGGATTTGGGTTAGGGCTTTCGAAAAGAGAAGACAAAAAAAAGGCATAATTTTTGTTTGTTTGTTTGTTTGTTTGTTTGTTATTTATTTATTTGTTTTGATTTGTTTTTGCATCAGAACTCAACTATGACTGAATTTTTTTATGCCAACTCTCAAAATAGGCATGTGTGTGACAATTTCAATCAATTTGGACTGAATTAGTAACGGTAGGAAAATAAAGTGCAAAATAGATCGAAACCACATGAGAGGTCTTTGCATATATTAAAAGTTAGGGGGCTAAAATGCTCTAGGCAAAAAACACAAGGGGGTAACTAGATTTTACCCAAAAAACAATACAAACTTACTTGCAAGTGCTTGACGGTATGCCTGAACAAAAGCCCTAGCCAAAATTCCAGAGCCCATTACAATCAAATTGGCAAGAATCTTTGCAGCCTGTGCAAACAAATATTTAGTTCAGTTAAATGTAGTAGTATCATAATAGGGCCATACATACAAATATATCCATGATATGAATATATAAATGTGTGTGTGTGTAACCATTAGCCTATTAAAGAGATCAATAAAGGTGATTCTCCACATGAATAAACAGTATGGTCATTTCAATACTGATGCACCCTTTTCAATCTGTCTGATGTACACACAACTGAGCAACTATTGGTAACAAAGCTACCACCTTGTAATCACCATGAAACCAGTGAATACTCAAGCACGAGTTGCAATAAAGCATCGAACAAGTGATGTCACAATCCAAACACCATTTGTGAGTGTGATTATAACACAAAATTGAACTCAATAAGAAATAATGGCCCCATACGTCAGTTTCTGTCTTGTTTGACCAAACTCCACCAACCTTGCTCGAATGAAGGCATGAAAAAATATCCTATTGTTGGATAGCTTGATATATAATGTCAGGGCCATATCCTAATAACTTAATCCTTTGGGATAATTGGTTATCTAACACCCACATCATTGATGGCATATAATCTACTATTCCCAAGAGAAACAAATTGAGGCTGACTCAAATAGAGGCCTAAAAAAAAAACCAAAAAACATCAGTAACCATCATTTCAGTATTTTGATTCAAGTTACCACTACCGGCTTGTGTCCAATTATCTACCACACAAGAGTTCGGGACTTGCTTCTCTAAGCCATTAAAGATCAGTGCAGTGAAAATTTTAACAACTTTAACTCTTCCACCACTAATTTTATATATATATATATATTTTATTTCAAACGGGAATTCAAAAATCATATTTAATCTACATAAACACCTAACAGAACTAAAATAGGAAGTGGGCACCAGTTAACTCAACAAAGCTTTGTCAAAATTACTTGAAGACTGCTTAAAGTTATTCTTAAACCACCACAATTACAGGATCAGTTCTTCCATAAAACAGCAAACAGGTCTATCATTGGAGTAAGACTTCAACTCTTCTATTTCTCCCAAAGTACCCGTGCCCATTGGGTATGGCAAGGGTAAGGGTGTAGGATATGTATCCGACATCTTTACCCAATTTAGGCACTAGAATTCTCTAACTTTTTACCATGTTTGAAGAAGAAGAAAAAAAACTCACATTTGCTAGTAAAGAAACATATTTCTAGCCTCTCACATGGACAAGAGAGAGAAATTTCATACTTTTGCCTAACTCCTACATAATTTCAAGTATACCTTTACTTAATTTACAACATTTTATCTAAGAATCTATACTATTAATATATGTGAACACTTAAGCTGGTGTAGTGACACAATAATTTTTTTTCCCCCAAAACACACCTATGCATGAGATAGCTTTTTTTGTTTGTTTCTTTACCATAAAGGGGCAAACAAGTAATAATAAACCAATATCCACATTTAACTTATTGGGTAAATTATAATTTAACCTCCTGTGGTTTACCCAAAAAATACGGAACCCCCCTATAGTTTCATTTGTAACACTTAAACACCTTATACTTCATACCAAAGTGTAATTTTGGACGGACGTAACAGAAATTGTAAAAAGTCTAAATTACCCTTATTTATTTCTCTAATTTTCTTCTTAATGCCATTACAAACCAGAATATTCTCTGATTTGTCTTTAAATTTTTTGTATTTCTCTTCTTCTTCTTCTTCTTTGACATCCCATGGAAAACCACACACCTCTCATACCAACATCAAATACGTGTCTCTCTCTCTAGAATTTAGACCCAAACAAATCTCCCTCTCTAGAATTTAAATTATACATATATGATACACATATTAACTGATATACATAATACATATATGATACATATTTGATATATGATATACATATATGATATATATAATACATAAATGATATATATGAAAGAAATGATGGGTAGTTTTAATTATACATATATGATATATATACATACATATTAACTGATATATATATATATATATATAATACATATTTCAACAGTTATCTTGTATAAGTAAAAGTGATCTTGTATTACTTCGTATCTCTCTCACCGTGACCGTCATCATCACCACCATTGCCCAACTCTGTCAAAATCAAGACATCATCATCACCACCATTGCCCAGATTCGTCAAAACCAAGAACCACCCTTTACAAAGTGCTATAGATGAAGCAACATAAGACGGCAGATAATGAAAAAAAGGAAATAGATTTGGAGATGTTTCTTTGAAATGTGTGAAGTTAGTTTTCGGACAACTTTAGGTATGCTGAAACCACCCATTTCAGGAAGAAGAGAGAAAACGAGATAGCGTAGGATTAAGTATAAAGCAAGATGAGGAGATTAGTGAAAGAACAGGATAAAATCATTAAGAATCGAGAAAATTATGGAGTTCGGAAAATAGGCCGAAGAAATGTTGGAAACGGGAAGAAAAAGTGGGTTTGGTTGGTATAAATCACATCAATGCTATTTCAAAAATCTAAATGTTTACACATATTAATTGTTTGATTACATGGGTTGGGTTTGTTACTAATTTGAATTATAAGAAGAAAAGTGGGTTTGGATAATTTTTAGAGAAAGAAGTTATGGTGATGATTTTGAGTGGTGGTTTTGCATAGAATAAGAAGTTGGTTGTGGATAATTTTTAGAGAGAGAAGTTGTGGTAGTGATTTTGAGTGGTGGTTTTGCATGGAATAAGAAATTGGTTGTGATTTTGTATGGAATATGATGGTGGTGAGGTTGGTTGGTTGTGATTTTGCATGGAAGGTGATGGTGATGAGATGAGGAGAGAAATAAAACGTGATGGTGGTGGTGGTTTTGCATAGAAGGTGATGGTGTTGTATATTTATATGATGAGGGAGAAAGAACCTGTGTCATGGTCCAAGAGTGTACCCATGCTTTGTTGCACTACACCATTTTGTATATATATATATGGCAATAAGGGTATTTTGGTCATTTTTCATATGTTTTTGGACGGAAAAAACTGCTCCACTCACCATTCATGGTCGTGCAACACACATTCTGTTTAAACAAACATTTCTGTTGAAAATTGCACTTTGGTATGAAGTATAGGGAGTTTAAGTGTTACAAATAAAACTATAAGAGGCTCCGTGTTTTTTAGGCAAATCACAGGGGGGGGCTCCGTGTTTTTTAGGCAAATCACAAGGGGTTAAATTATAATTTACCCTAATTTATTTTTATTTTTTTTACGGTTTCAACCATCAAATCTCTTCTCTTCTTGATTTCAAAAAATAATGGCACACGCATAGTGTGGACTCAAATGCTAGTATTATATAATATATACTTCTATACTATATTATAAGGTAAACATCTCAATTGGCGTAGACAAAAGTAAGTAACGTATTTTATTTACCTAAATTACCCTTGCATGATCAAATAAGGGCCTCAATTCGCTAGTAACTGCTCCTTAGTTTTCCGTTTGTGGCATGGGTGGTTGGAGAAGAATTAGGGGCATGGATAATATTGACGCACGGCATGTGCCAACAATGGCTAGTATGCAATATATGTCTATGGCTCGTCGCCATAATAGCCATATCCAACTTTTGAATACATATCTCAACACCTAAAAAATTTAGGTTTATGAACGCTGGTACACACAGTTGTACCCAATATTTGTACCCAAGTCCGAGCTCATGTAGCATAGCCATGCACAGGAGCATGTGAGAAGGACTCAGCAACCTCTTTACAGACATCTATTCCCGGGTATATGCATATACATATGAGGAACAAGTAAACCAAACACATAAACAATGCCTAAATAGTACACATTAATGTGTATTTGAGAGAGAAAATATTGGATACAGACCAAACCTCTGGCATAGTGCACGGAGTGTTTGGCCCAAGACTTGAACCCAAAACCTCAAAGGTTGTCAGGTCAAGGTTTTAACCCAAACACATGCAATTCAAAAATTAATAGTTAAGAAATTAATGTCTGAAATAACTACAGTTGTGTTCTGATTCGTCTTCATTTGACTTAATTTACAAAAACAAAATAATAACAATCAAACAACATGAAGAAAATAATAAAAGAAAAATACCAAAACCAATCATGAACTATGTTCCAATTATTCTCTGTTGGGTTGCGAATTTTTCAGTTTCTTCCAAATTTTCTCAGCAAACAAACAGAGAACCAAAGAACAATATGCCAAAATGCAAGACGACACGTACCATAGCTGGTATTGATGAGAATGGGATCAAAATCTTCAGATTTGTGTCCTTCGGCGAGCCAATCAGGGCTTTGAAAACCGACGTCGGAGGATCGAGAAAGAAAGGAAAGGTCTTGAATGGAGGTGGAGGGGAGGCAGGTTAGGGTTTTGCTTTGCGATGCGAGAAGAAGAAGGACAACAAACTGGAAAACCAAAAACACAATTAAGGCTCCGTTTGGATCGCCAAATAAGAAATTTAAAAAGGGCCATTTACATCGATTTTACCTATATTTTATCCTTGTATCATTTTTGTCCATACATTTTCAATTAATTCAATTTTAATTCTTAATTTTAAATTTTGTTAATTTGACTCAATTGATAATATTATTAGTATTTTTTTAAAATAAAAATTATTACTAAATTAGTTGAGGTTAACTCATTAAGTTAAATAAGTCTATAATTTTACTTAAAAATATAACACATAAAATTTATGTGCATATTTTTATTAAAAAAATACTAGAAATTGTAACTAATTAGAGAAAATTAAGATATAAAGTCATAAATTGATAATCAAAATCAAACCAATTGCAAGAATAAGAACTAAAACGACAAGACCACCATCGTTATTTGCCCTTTAAAAAAAAATTGAAAGCTTCTCCAAACAAGGTTTATTACAAATGGTTTATTACAATCAAACCAAATTTAGACAAATTATAATTTTAGAGTGAAGATCAAACCAATTAAAATTATATAGACTAAAATGACACAAGGATCAAAATATAAAAATTATTGTGATATATTTGACTATAAATTACACTAACAGTCCCTATAATTTGAGGCTTCTGTCACTTTGATCCTTGACTTTTCTATTATGATACATTTGACTCTTAATTTTGAATCTCATTTCAAATAAGAATAATTGAAAACATTGTTCCTCAATTTGAAAGGCAAAAATTGTCATACAATTTATTTTGTGTTAGTTAACTCATATATCGTTTGAAATATAATGACATTTTTTTAAATGAATAATGTTAAAAGAAAATTTATTATAAAGTTGTTTGTTTTAATTTTTAGATTCTATTTTTATAAATTTTTTATAAGAAACTAAAAATTAAATTGATGAAAAAAAATTAAAAATATATTATTTTTATATAATTTTATCTTTTGAGAGGATATAAATAATTTTTTTAAATAATTTTTTTGATATTTATTTTCATTAAATTAATTATCGTTTTTTCAAAAGTCAAATATGGCGATAATTTTACATTATTATTAAACCAATTCATGAAATTAAAAAATCCAAAACTACAAATATTTTATATACTAAACATATTGATAATAGATTAAAAACCTAATAATCATCCATTAAATGACAATCATACAAAAATATATGTTAACAATAAATACAATCATATATTATATGATAACCATAAAAAAAAATTAAAAAAAGCAATTACTCGTTACATGATTATCGTCCAAACATATATTAAAAATTAATTTGGTAAAAAAAATAAAAATATAAAAGATTTGTCATTTTTATATAATTTTATCTTTGGTGAGTATAAATAATTTTTAAAATTTTAAAAATAATTTTTTGCATTTATTTTTGTCAAATTAATTTATATTTTATCAAATTACTGACTTTGTCCTTTAAATGGACTAACAATGTCTTCAATTATCCTTATTTGGAACAAGATACAAAATTCAAAGTCGAATACATCACAATTGAAAAGTCATAAACTAAAGTAACATAAATCTCAAATTACAGGGACTGTTAATATAATTCACCCCTACATATTTGTGTAAGAGTTTAAAGACAACAACAATTTATTTGTTAGTTAAAATTTTCATATTCAGAACAGTTATGCTAGGTAGCTCAAAACTGTCGAGCTCAAATTTAGCCCAAATTCAAAACGGCATCGTTTCGTCGTTTTGAATTTTTTTTTTTTCCAATAACTGGCAAAAGAAAAATCAAAAAAGAAGAAGAACAAAGAAGAAGAGGAGAGCAGCAAAGAGCGAGAGAGAGAGAATCATCATCATCAACCACCCAACAAGCCATTCATCTTTAGATCTTCATCAACATCATCATCAATAACCATTCATCTTCAGATCCAGAAGAAAAAAAAAAAAAAAATCAACCATTCTTTAGATCCAGAACATCTTCATCATCAACAACAACAGCTTCATCAACATCACCATCATCATCATCAACACATTTTCAGATCCAGATCCACTATTTTCATATCATCATCACCATCATCATCTTCATCATTTCCATATTCGGGTTGGACAAAAAAACGGAAGCTCTCTATTCCCTCTTTTCCTCTCTTTTCTTTCTCTCATTCTCTTTCTCTCCCTCTTCCTCTTCTTCTCTCTTCTCTCTTCTCTCCTCTGTTTCAGACATAAGAAGGGGAAAAAGAAAAAAAAAAACTGCCCAAAACAACGTCGTTTTGAGCAATCGAGGGATTCGGAGAAGAGAGATTCGAGCTACGAAGGATTATTCTATTCAAAATTCTATGGAGATAAGGACAAATTTCAATGTAAATGTCAAGAATACCCTTTTTACTCTAAACTTTTGTCGAGCATCTTCTCTCTCCTGTAGACAAAATGCATTTTGAAATATGTTTCAAAATTTTAAATTTAATAACTTTTGATCTGAAATTTCGTATTTTGTAAAATTTATATTTTTGGAATCATGTGGTTGAGAAGATATATCAAACTAGATCCATAATGAATATAAAATTTTGAAAAGAAAAACAATTTGCGTTTGGTAGAGTTTTATAAATATGATTTCAAAATAGAGTTGTATTTTGAATTTGTGAGTTTTGGAATTATGATTTGAGTGTGAAAAATTTATTTAGTAAATGAGTTTTGAAAAGAGTTTTGAATTGAGTGGGAAATTTTTGATGTGACATGATATTTGATACAAAAATTTACAACTCATAACCAAACACACAACTCAAAATTCTATTCAAATCTCTTAAAAAAATTTAAAAAATTCGGAAAATATTTTTTATTGAATATATAAAAATTAACATGTGTTAATTGCAACACAAAAAAAAAAAAAACACTGTTCCGATTAACTGGCCGGACTCGTAAACAAACATCGTGTACAAAATAAGCCCTGGAACTAACGTTCCAAAGCTGTACCAAACAAGCCCTGTGGAATTAAATTTTCACTGAGTTTCTAACTTAAAGTCAGAAATTTCATTGACTTTGCAATTGTCCTGGTTTCAATAAGTGAAATTTCATTGATTTAAACTTTGATCTTCATTGATTTCTTTCAATTTGACTAATAATTTAAGGAGTATAATTAGAAGAATTTTAAAAAAAAAATTAAAAATTTATAGTGCCTTTATGGTACCTCAAATTGAGTTAGGTACACAAAATTTGTAATTTTTTATTTTTCCAATGATTAAATTTTCATTTAAGAATTTTATTATTTTAGAAATAGAGAAATTCATTGATTCATAATCAGTAATAGTAACACTAGTTAATAGTAAAATTCATTGAATTAGTGAACAAAATTTTATTGTCATTGACTACAAATTCAGTGAAATTTTAACTATTATAGAAGTTAGTGAAATTTCACTGACTCTAAGGATAGCAAACTCAGTGAAAATGTTATATATATATATATATATAGAATTTCATATTCATTATGAATTTGTTTGATAGATCTCAATAAAAAATCAAAAAAAAATCAAAAAATTGAAACTTTATGAAAAACGAATATCTAAGTCAAAAGTTAGAGTTGATAAGTTTTGAAATATCATATATATATAGATAGTATTTTTCCCATATTCTAAGGACATACCTTTTTTCAAAATAGTTATATCAGCATGCCTTTTCTATTTACATATAGAGTTCTACATAAACAAAATTTATGAGGACATACTTTTTTTCGAAAAAAGTTATATCAGCATGCCTTTTCCATTTACATATAGAGTTCTACATAAACTAAATTTCAATTATACTAATCAATTTTATACAAATTCTATTTAAAAAAAAATACTTATTTTCTATATATTTTCCATCCTTGATGATGATGATGATGATGATTTAAGTTGATCTTACATGAGGTTTTGTGATAATAACAATAATAAAACTTATAATTTTAATATGAACATATTGACTTTCCTTTTCGAAATGCTAAATGAATCAAAATGAATACCGAAAATTATTTTTTCATTCATATAATTAATAAATTATTGATCAAAAATGGCTTTATATTCTATAAATTAAAACATCACGGGAACTTAATATAATTATAATAAACTGTGAAGTATGTTATATTTTTTTCAAAACTTAAGAGATGTCGGTGTAATTTACCCTAGTAATAATAACAAACACAAATAGTACCTACGAAAAACACAAATAGTAACTGCGAAATTTAAAAAGCACATATCCCAGTTTTAGAAATTTGGAAGAAAAAACAAATTAGAGATACATCAATTTACATATTTTTGTTAGAGTCTTAGTTAATTAAAAGTTTATTTGTTAGTTAAAATCAATGAGACTTTAAATTTTAGAAGTATAATGTTTATTTTTATTTTTGACACAAAATAGAAACAACATAAAATGTGATCGATTATATGCATTTTATATATATATTTTTTGTCTATCTTATTGATATCTTAATGTTAATTTATATTTAAATTTTTTATTTAATATAAAATTATTTATTACAAATATATTTATATTTAATTTAAATTGTATATATCTATATATAATATATATGAATAATTCAAAAATAATACTAAAGAAAAATCAATACTCTACATAATTAATTTATGTATTTTCTTCTTAATCCAACCACCATATTTATATTTAATATTTTAAATACTTTTTTTGGGCAAATTACATATATCCCCTCGAGGTTTGGCTAAATTACAAATACCCCCTGAGGTTTGAGAAATTACGAATTCCTCCCTGAATGCTATATTTGCATAAGAAATTAGGGGTAATTTGTTATGAAATAGAAACCTCAGAGGGCAAATTGTTATGAAAATACAAACTTCAAGGGGCGGGATGTAATTTCCGAAACCTCAGGGAGGTATCTGTAATTTAGCTAAATCTCGAGGGAGGTATATGTAATTTGCCCTAATTTTGTTTTGTAGTTCTATTTCTACATATTTTATTTTCCAAATAAATAAAAAATAAAATTAAATAATTAGAATCACTTTTAATTTTATATTATTAAGTCTCCTTTTAATTTAACTACTATTTTTAATAGGGGGATGCACCAATAAATCCCAAATTAATAACTTATGCACTGTTTAGTCCTAAAAGTTTTCTTATAGACTGAAAGGTCCCATTACAATGTTTCAAACATCAGATTAATGTTTCGAACATTAGATTTCGAACATCAGATTAATGTTTCGAACATTAGATTTCGAACATCAGATTAATGTTTCGAACATTAGATTTCGAACATCAGATTAATGTTTCGAACATTAGATTTCGAACATCAGATTAATGTTTCGAACATTAGATTTCGAACATCAGATTAATGTTTCGAACATTAGATTTCGAACATCAGATTAATGTTTCGAACATTAGATTTCGAACATCAGATATATTATTAAGTCTCCTTTTAATTTAACTACTATTTTTAATATCAAAATGAGTGTTTATTTTTTTATCTTATAATAATTTAATATATATCATATAAAATCATTATATGATAATTCAATTACACCATATTTATATTTAATTTTTTAAATAAATTTTATATGGTTTCTATTTCTATATATTCTTATTTTCCAAATGATTATAAAAGAAAATTAAATAATTAGAATCACCTTTAATTTTATGTTACTAATTCTCCCTCCAATTTAACTATTATTTTTAATATATGATAATTACACTATTATAGTACAATAGAACTAAAATTACCAAAACAAACAAATAATTTAACTAAATTTATTATGTATAAGTATTCAAATAACACTTTTATAGAACGATAAGGTTAAAATTATTAAAATAAATAATTTAAATTTAAATTTTAATTTTATTTTAAATTAAAATTAAAATTAATATTATTCTTTTGTAACACATATTGTAACGTAAAATATAATTTCAAAAAAAAATTAACTCATGCATTACACGGGTCAATTGCTGGTTGAAAATCTAAAAACAATTGTTACTTGTGTTCACAGCTATTAGAATATTTTAACTCGTAACGAGACGCCAAAAAAATAACAGACTGGAGCTAGCATGCAATTTTTTTTTTTGGTCCTCAAACAAGTAAAGATCTATAATGTAGGAGTTGAAAAAAATTAATCCCATAAAAAAATGATTAATAGTGTTTTGTTACAATCTTAAATTATTTGATTTAACTTTTTTCATAAAAAAAAAATTTGAAATTTTGTTAAGTTAAAATCTGTACTTTTTATGAACTTTGAAACCCCTCAAATATATGTAGAGTTGTGTATCTTTTATCTGAATTACTAATATAAAAGACTTTTAAAGCTATTCTAGACATTTGCAAAACAAAATAGTCATGTAAAGTTTACTATTTAATTAAACAAATTCAATTTTGAGGGGCCCTCCCTCACCATCACCACCAAACCACTATTACATTACCACCACCACCACCACAACACAATCACAACTGTTGCCATCACTTCACTACCTAACCTTCACCAGACCCATCCTACCCACACAACCACTACCACAACTGGCATGCCGCCACCACAAGCCGACGCCACCACCACCCACAAATATAAAAAGTGAAAGAGAAAAATTAAAAAATTAATAATTCTATCTTCTTTTAGATATCAAACTAACTTCATTAAATTCAATTCTTGGCATGACGCCCACTGGCGTAAAAGCTCCCAACTTCATCCAACTCCCTAATTTTAATTTGACAGTAATTTCACAAGCAGCCAGCCCTTTTCACCAAGTTCAACCCCTGCTGGAGCGAAGCATACACCAACAAAATAACACCATAACAATAATAACAACATGATACATATTAGCAGTCACCATGCCAAAGTCAAGACAAACTTGAGAATTTTTGAACTTGCCAAGCCCATTGCATTCCCCTTGCTTGGCAACCAAATGCTTTGTAGAGTTTTTAGGTTTGGATATCCAATTCTGGGATAGTTGACAGAAGCATCAATTTTATTTGCAATCAATCGCTTCAGAGGAAATACAAATAGGAAAGAAAATGTATAAGACAACCCTTGACATTCATGTCTACTACCAGATAGAATCATATCCACACAACCAGTCTTGGTAAAAACAGAAAATATATGTGGGGAACAATATTTACAGCGGAGTTGAATTCCATTCAATGTTTGATAATTCTTACCAATAGTTGAGCATATAATAGAAATGCAAATCTAATGAGCTAAAGATATAGAGTGTTTTCAAGTACAGAACACCACTTAGGCACCTAGCTTTAATGCTCCATCTGCATCATAATCAGAGGCAAGAACATGTCCGTGATCACCTTTACCACCTGATTCTACTTCATCAAAGTAGTCCTCTCGGGCATTATCAGCTAGCATTAGGGAAACCAACCAGAAGAGTGACGCGTCAAGGGATAAAAAGGCACCGCCACCAAGGAGACCAGTCTTGGCAGTTGGGCAACTTGTTTCCAGGTTGTAATGAACATTGTGGATAAGGTGAAGTTGCTCAGTTATTGTAGGCCACAACAGAAACGCTGCTGCCAATCCAGCTGTACCCCTGTGATTTCACCATCAGCGAATATAAGATACTCTGTAAATATATATTTTTCTAATAACTTACTCTGTAGATATAAAATTGCAACTCATATTTTAAGCGGAGTACATTTAAACTAGTGTGCAATATCTGAAGATTCTGAACTACTAATTTATTCTTCAGGAAATGCAACTCATATACACCACTAAATTGGGTTTGTCAAGTTCATATTCTCATCCAACCTAATAAGCCTCTCAAATTTGAGAGCTCCCAAAATACCAAAAAGCCCAAGGCAGATTACTTAATGGTCTGTGGCCCTTGATTTATTTTTTGGATTTTTTTTATTATTATGTAATTTTGATAGGTAATCTATTTCTTAGGCTTTAATGATCTTATCTATAAAATTCCACTAAACTTCAAAGGTGCCTTCCATGTGATTCTTTTTTCTTCTTTTGTCTTCTCGTTCATTTTTCATTTTTCTTTAATCACCTTTTTTTTTTGGCAGGGGGTCTTTTGTCCGCCTCTCCCTAATATATTGAATAGTTCTTGATTATCAATTAAGAGTTTGTTATTAGAAGAAATGACTGGAAAATTCATTATGAACATCAATGACTACGAGAGAAAAACATCCATGTCCTTTATCATAGATGTCTCAAACTTTTATACATATAAGATTTTAGTTAGCCTAATAGCAAAATTTGCTTGGATGCTTTATTCATTAGAAAGTGTGACAGAAAAAATATCCAACCATCCAGTGAATAGGAAAGGATGACATCCACATCTCCTCATTCACACAAATAAGTAGGGCAAATATAAAATCTAAAACTGCCAATAGGGTAGGGTGGCAAATTGAACCAGCAAATGACTACAAAGAAAGAAAAAAATGAGGTTGTAAATATGAGATCCTGCTAAAGATATACTTACAAAGCGATATTGAAGAATACAAGAAAGCTAGTGCTTCTGAACAAAGCAGTCTGTGGAATAGACTTTCCTTTGTAAGGGTAAAACAAAGACAAGTACCCAGCCACAGTCGAGACAGCAAGAAAAGCAGTGGCCAGATACCCCAAAACAACAGTGGGGTCCGATGGATACTTGCAAATAACAACACCTTTTCCTGTAATTGCAGATCCAGATGCCGGCTGTGGAAGATAATAACAAGACAAAGAATATTATAAAACAGTAGGCTGGGAAAGGACATAAGAAAATGAATGAATATTATATCCCATGCTCTGTAATAAATTCTTTTCTTTTGCTTTTTCCTTTGTATAATAAAAAGATTAGCATTCGGTGCACTCATTTTTTGCATTTTTGCAATCCAGTTTGTTAACAATCAATCATGCCATATAACCCCACAAAAATCAATAAGATAACAAAGTTCACAGCTCTGTAGCTATGAAAGTGGAAACAGACACCGAAATAAGATATTTTAAATATGTATTTGCTAGACTCTTTTGAAGTGAACAGAATGATATAAGTTGAAGGGTGATGATGTCTACACATTGATTCCACCAACAGAGATTCCATCAAATCCAATTAAATAATCGAAGTGTTAGGGGCAAGGAATTTGTTGAATGCCAAGAGAACTGGCGAACTTAAGATGATACTATAAAGTCTACATGAAATTAATGATTTAGATCTAGCAGAGCACTACAGCATGATTAGCAATTATCCTCCAAATAGTTATGAAACGCAGACAATAAAGCACTATGATGCGCATTTAAGATGAGATGCACATTTGCAGTTATTGTTCACCTTGCTTGCTGTAATGATCAGTGAAAGAAAAGAGAAAAAATGGAAAGCATTCTAACCCAAACTAGATGTTAAAAGAAAAAATTTTCCATTCCTTATCACAAGAAAGCAAGCTGACTTAGCAACACAAATATTTGAATGGTTGTTTCCAATACTAGAAATGCGATTCACTCTCAGTACTTGTTAGCAATCCAATTTAGTAAAAGCAAGCTTACCAAGACAAAGAATAACAAAAAGTTTAAGCTTTATGAAGACAAAGACTAAACTCATCCCCAGCCCCCATTCAGTTTTAATCATGACCACTCAACTCTCAAAGAAATAAGGATCTGCAAAGCCTTTGTTCTTAAAGGATTCTCATTTCGCATCATAATTATTTTCAGAAATTTTGAATTGCAGTACGATCAGCGATCAGTAACATACTCAAATAATATTTCTACACAAAAAACACAGAAGCTCATCAAGTTCCTCCTAGAGATACTGTAACAAAAGAAGGTACTAAGAGCAAAAAAAACAAAATCTTCTGTAGAAGATATTGAAGGATTTATCTTTAGTTCAGAATAGAAAATAACCTTCTTGTTTTCAGCAACCACTCCAAATATGAAAGACAATATACCAAAAGTTGCTACGATCAAAGACATCTGTTTGGTAGTAAATGCCATTGCACCTGCAAATTAAAGCATAAAAAACCAGAGATGAGATGACCAAAAAATTTTTTACAATGAAATAAAGAGTAGAGTTGCAATTTAACTTAGAATTCAAATAGCACACTAATTCTCCCATTTTGGCTCCTGCGTTGGATATGCTCTACAAGGGGATTTGGTCAAAACCTCCTCATAATAAAACTTTAATGAATTAAGGACAAACACAATTAAGTTTTTCTTGAAAAGTGCAACACATACCATTATTATCAAAATATTAAATTTTAAAATAATATAACTTTTGATGTAAATATCGGTTTTTAATAAAATTAATATTTTTAAAATTCTCTCATCAATATCTATCAAATAAGATCCATGTTTGACTATGAAATTTTTGGAAAAAAAATATATATTACCGTCGAAATTGATATAAACAATAACATGTTACTCTATTTGATAATAACATGTTACTTTATCTCCCAATAACATGTTCCTTTGTTTGACAGGTACTTTGTTTGAAAGTAACACTCTCTATCCAAGAAGGAAAAAAATATATATATATATATATTTTAGGTTGAGTTGCAAAATATATATTTTAGGTTGTCCTTATATTCTCCTTAGAGGGTTTATGACGCACAATAAATTGGGCTGTATTTTTCACCAAATAAGGGTCCAAGGGTTTTGGCTAAATTTCCGAAAAAACAAACAAACAAACTAGCACAAAGAAGAAACCAGTGTAAAATTAGTACGCAATTATATATAATAAAAAAAAAAAGTTTTTTTGTGTTTGTATTTGTTTGTTGGGAAATTTCCTTCTTGTTTTTGTTTGTTTGTTTGTTGGATGGAATATAGACATACAAACTTGCATACATGCGTATATGAGTAAATTATGCACATGAAAAAATTAATTGATAACGGAAAAGTATTAAACTAGAACTCTGGAATCTTAAGCACTCAGAACAATAGCAAAAATACAGAACAAAATTCGATAATCATGCAATCAAAAAAAAATACCAAAAAAATCTGTAGGAAAAGATCATCATAACAATCCACCAAATCAGGTATTAACCTTAAGCAAACCCAATATATAAAGAAAATACACCAAAGCATCGATTTTTATTATTTGATAAGCGTAACCCTCCACCAAACCCAATAAAATAAATAGGTTAATTAACAAAATTACAAGAAATCCCAAGAAAAATCAATTGATTTCGTTGCTCATAGAAAAAAAAAAAAATCAGATCAGATTAAAACATAAGCACTAATAGAATCGAAAACACCATCAAAAGACAGAGTAGCAGAAGGATAATCGGAATCGAAAAGAAAAAGAAAGAGCGAGAAAAGTGTGTACCGATCTGGAAGATTGATTCAAACCCACAGAATCGAAAATCTGATTCCGGATTCTCTCACTCTCTCTCTATCTTGAAGCAATTGAGTGCGTGAATTACGCTTTTATAGCTTGAAGAAGTTAAGATACAGCTACCCTCCTGCGAGTACACTGTTTAGGATAAGTCAACTTCCCCCGACCCGCTCCGAGTGGGTTTACCCCACCCGATGAGGATGATGAGGGTCAATATCTGGTTTCATTAATGTAATGTTTTTTTTCCCCTCTTTTTTTGGGACATTGGTTTCATTTTTGAGAATCAACCATTAAGGTTATTTTGAGAAGTGGTTTATCAACTAATTTTTTAATTTATTTTTAAAAAATTATGTAAAAAATAGAGAGATAATGTGCTTTAAATAAGTAAATAAGTTAGTTTATAAGTTTGTTCATAAAAATATCATTAATACGCAACAAAAAAAAATTTTAGGCTCTGTTTGGTTGTGCTCTGTAATCAATTTTCTACCCGTGTGTTGGAGCATGATGTTTGGTTTCGTTTTCAAATCAATTTTCTACACTCTGTAGAGAGAACTCTGATGCACAGGCGCCTTTTTTGTCCACCCGGTTGTCCACCCGGTAGACCACCCGGATGTCCGACTGATTTCCAGATTTTTTTTTTTTTTTTTTTTTTTGCAATTGATTTACATAATTGGGACAAATATTTTCTGAAAATTTTTAAATTTTTTATGTGCTTTAAAATAATTTTGAGTTGTATGTTTAGTTATGAGTTATAAATTTTTGTATCACATATCAAATGTCACATCAATAATTCCCCACTCAAATCAAACCTCTTTTCCAAAACTATTTTCAAAACTCTTTACCAAACAAATTTTCTACACTCAAATCATAATTCCACAACACACAAACTCAAAATACAACTCATACTCTCAAATCACATTTATAAAACACAACCAAACGCTACCGTAAACTTTTGTAAGGAATGCAAATAGTACGGTACTATATTTTATCTTATAAATCCTAATATGAGACACCTTAAAATAAAAAATTACTTCTTTATCTTTTTATATTTTTTAGGGCATATTGTCTCTTCACTTTTTTACAATTTTTTTTATAAAAAATCAAAAAGTATATTTATTTAAATCATTTGAAACAAAAATACCCTTATTTATTAAATTCCAACCTAATAGATACACATTTCTCATTCAATGTCTTTTACTTTTTGAAAAATTTAAAAATTTAATAACTTTTTGATTTAGATATTCATTTTAAATCAAATTTGTATTTTTAGAATGCTCTTATCGATATATATCAAATAATATATTAATATGAATTCTATTAAAAAAAATGATAAAATTTCACTGAGTTGGCTACCTTCAGCTAATGAAATTTCTAAAACTTCTCTGAAAGAAACTAAGCAATTATGAAATTTTTCTAATCATTTTTGAAATTTTTTTGATAGAAAATAAGTAAATTAGAAATTTCTCTGAACAATTTTGGATGAAGGGCAAAAAAACAAAAAAACAAAAAAAAAAAGGGTGCGCAAAAAGAACCTAAACAACTAACTTCGAAATGTGAAGGGACCCAACCACTTACAAATCTTTTCATAATCCTTCAACTGCTAAGGAGGTCTGCACCTAATTTTTTCAAAAAACAAATAACCATTTTAACTAAAAAGATTAAAATAAAAAAAAAAAGTACTGCAACTTATTAATTCACTTTTTAAATGATTTTTAATCACTATCTATAATACCGTTAAATAAAAAAAAACCCTTCATCTTGTTTTTGTTTTTAAGAGTAAAATATTAAAAATTTATTATAATTAATATTTAAACACACGTATTTAAATATAGTTCTGGTAAATCCCTGCATTTGTAATTTGAATGCTAAATGAATACCTGGGGGCACTTGATAAAGTCTTGTTTTGAGAAGGATTTTTTTGACTTGATTTTTTTGTTATTTTAATTCGGATAAAAAAAAAATCTTGGAATGAATTTTTTTTATTATTTTATAATTTTTGAGAGACGGAGTGAGATGATTATGATTTTGATATGACATTTTATGTTATTGACTTTTTAGTCTATGTTGTCTTTTAATAGATTAAATTAGTCTTAATCATTTTTCCAAACGGGACCTTAATTTGTCTTAAATTTTGTAACTTTTTAATTTTAATTTGTTAATATGTATTTAATGTTATATTAAATTTTCTTGAGTTTAAAAGCTTTCTATATTTAACCTATTACTTATAGGATATGGCTTCTGTCCAGTCCGGGATCAGACTGGACCATGTTGTTGGGCCTGTGGGAGCCACCACGGGTCCCATTTTAATAATCTGAATCGTTCAATATGTAGAACTCGTCGGATACAATAAGCCTGTAAAAATCACACTGATCGGATATCGCTAGCTATATGATCAAATCTGTTTCGTATTAAAAAAATTAAACGGTGAATAAATTAACGGTTGACAAAAAATTATTTTGATCACATAGATATCGATATCCGATCAACGTGATTTTTTACAGGCATATAGTACTCGACGATTTCTACACATTGAACGATTCAAATTATCAAAATGGGACCCATGGTGGGCCCTCACGGGCCCAATAGTACGGTCCAGTCCGATACAAAAGACATACCCTTAATTATATTATATGCATTTAATAGTTTTCTATTTTTAACCTATTATTTAAATTGAACAAATTTTAAGACTCATTAAATGAAATAAAATATTTTTAATTACTTGTTAGCATGACTCATTTTATATTGGGTTATGCTAATAAGTAGGATAATACTACATGTACTAATTAATGTACTAACTAGTATATTAATAAATTATGTGACATAATTTTCGAAGTTTTGAGTATTTGTAATTTATATAATAGATGGAGTTAATAATAATAATATAATACTAGTTGGTACACTAATTAGTATACTAATTGATACATATAGTATTATTCAATAAGTAATTACTGGGTAATTATTAGGTGCTCCAAAGGAATTGTGATTGGTGAAAAATGTAAAACTTATAATTTTATATTGAGCTCGTTTGGGATGTCTTATTGAGACTAAAATAGTCACATAAGACAAAATATGTTATTTTAGCCCAATAGGATAAAATGTCAAATCCAATCTATAATCATTTTATTCTTGAAAAATACTTCGTACTATTAATTTAACACCACTAATGCACCACTAATGACATGACATCATGGGGATCCCACTATTGATGTGATAGTTTGGCCTTTGTTTTTTTTTTTTTTCTCTTGCACTTGCCAGCTCATTAGTGATGCTTTTAGAGTTGCTAATTTAGTGCTCTAAATCCGAACTGTTTATTTTTTCTCTCACAAATATCAAAAAAGCCTATCTCAAACGAGGTTTTTTAGTCCCAGGGTAAAATAGACAAAAAAAATCAAAAAACCAACCCACATTCTAAACGAGCTCATTGGGTGATTGTAAAATCGGAGTGGACATAATGTATGATGATTGGTAAAAGAGTACAATCATGTGATATTCCTAAAATACTTAATAATTTTTGTAATTACTTATATTATATTGCATTTAATGAGTCTTGAAATTTGTTAAAATATTATTTTTATATAAGAAAATTTGAAATATTAATTATAAATTAGTTGTATACAAATTCAAAAGTCATTGAAACATTCAATAATAAATATATTCAATTGATGAGTGACTGGAAATATAAACTCATCAATTTAACGGTTGTACTATATACACCAATTAATATATCAACTAGTGTACCAATATACCTTATGACATTATTACTGACTTCACTCATTATACAAATTATAAATAACTAAAACTTCTAAAATTATGTCACATTATCAGTTAATATATTAATTGATATACTAATTAGTGTACCAATTAATACATATAGCATTATTCATCAACTTAAGGAATAAATAACATCAAAAATTTATCAAAATCAAGGCAAATTAATATATTATACACCTTAACTAGCCTCGCATGGACACTTGTTAATTTTAACCTTTTACATTTAAATTTTTCAATAATTTGATGATTGATTGACTGGTTGATAAATAAGAAAAATTATTTAATAATTTTAAATAGTTTGATGCATGAAAAAAACGATTCAAGAGTTGTTAAAAGTGATGAATACGAAAGCTCTTCTTGAAAAATAAAAAATTATGACAAGGGTTCACATCTGATGAAATGAGGTGAACAAAAAATAGATATATTTATATGTATATAATATGTATATTTTTAAATATAATAAAATTAAAATATGAAAAAAAATAGTGAAATATCTCTCTAATTTTGAATAGTAGGATAGACTCAATATATTTTTTTCTTCTTAGTTAAGGTCTCTTAATAATATTATTAGAGAAATTTCTCTATAAAAATATTGAGAGACCCCAACTGTTATAAAAATGTTACATGCTATTAAATTTTAATATCATGGACCTTAAACTAAAAACCTCTTAAAATATTATAATTTATTTTCACTTACTTATTTATTACCCTGCATATTTCTAACTTACATAATTTTAAAATTATTATTCATAATGTAATATCATTATTTCAAAAATCTATATATAAGGAAAATTGACTTTTTAGTGAGAAACATCCTAGGAGCTCCAAATTCTCATTCTAATAATAATTACTTTTATTTGATAATTCCACATTGAGAAAAGAAAGAAAAAAAATGAGTTGTTTTACTCATATAAAAAGATATTGATAGTTTCAATATCTCAAACTAATTTTCTTAATTTTAAATAATTAAAAAAATCTCCATTGACTAACTTTTATTTTATAATCCCACATCTAGAAAAGAAGCAAAAAGTATTGTTTAGGTTGGGATAGTTTAGATTTGAAGCTTTTATCATAGTTTAAGTTGATGGTTCACCAAACTGTACGATGAAAATATATCTCCCTAATAGGAGGCCAACTTATATAATTTAAAAGCTTTTTTTAATAATTAATGTTATTATTATTATAATAAAAGGGTTTCGAAATTTGGAGGCCATAACTCATCTCCCCCAATTAGGTCCATCTTGCTTGCATGACTATAATTAATTATATTTTTA